ATGATAGATGAAGGAAATAGGCAAACCTACATAGTAAATATCCCCAAACACTCAGAAACTTTACCATAGCACCAGTTAATAACTGTGTGTGCTACTCCTGGGCCTGTTCCTGAACTTTTTATGCTCAAGGCTAGCATTTTGCCACTTGAACCACAGTTCTACTTTGGACTGTTGGTGGTTAATAAGAGTCTTACAGACTTTCTTGCCTGGGCTATCTTTGAACGACAATCCTTAGATCTCAACCTCCACTGTAGCTAGGATTACAGACATGAGCTACCAAGGCCCAGTTGTATTTTTTATGGGTTAATCTTTTCCATCTCCTTTAGTTCTGGTGAACTAAGGCCTGATGCATACTGTACCCGTGGTCCTACAGTTGAAGTTAACCTTTTTGTAGTTGTTTCTTCATTTATAAAATTATATACTAAGCCCTACATTTTTATCCCATTCTTTTCTTTCTTCCAAGATGAAATTTGTATGTTTCACTGCAGCTGCAGATATTTGAGGTTTTTACATGAAATGTAAACATATAGCGAAACTACTACAACATTAGTTTTCCAGCACACTCGTTATGGGGTACAGTACAGTCATTGGTTGCATTTTGAACTTTTCTATGATTTTTTAAAGTAAGTCGAGAATAAAAATTGACATTAATCTAAAAAAGAAAAGAAAACAATGCTAGTCAGGAATGATGGCTCATTCACCCTAGTACTCCTAGGTACTTGTGGCAGAAAAAGAAGGATCTCCCTTCAAGGCCAAAGCTTACCTCAAGGAACAGAAACTTAGGAGGGTATCAGTCAGAAGCAAAGACTTTTAGCATTGTGAAAAAGGAAAAAGGCCTGGGGTATGGCTCTAGTAGTAGAGTGCTTGTCTAGAAAGTTCAAGGTCCTAAGTTCAAACTTGAGTACTACCTCCCCTGCTCCCTCCCCCCCCCCCCCAAAAAAAAAATCCTAATATTCTTTCTCCATCTCTACTTTTCACTGGGCACCCGTGGCTCTCACCTGTAATTTTAGCTACTCAGGAAGCTGAGATCCTAGGATTATGGTTCAAAGCCAGCCTTGGCAGGAAAGTCCATGGACTGTTATCTCCAGTTAGCCACCAAAAAGTAGAACTGTTAGGTGGTGTACGCCATTAGCCTTGAGCACAAAAGCTCAGGGACGGCACCCTGGCCCTGAATTTAAGCCCTACAACCAACAGAGAAAAAAGAAAAGAAAAGAAATACAGGATTAGGGTAAATATATTGATTTTAGAATATATTGCAGATGCTTGTATCTGTAGTGTATCCTAGTTTAAGTATTGTTGCTTTGAAAGGAAATTTTGGTTATTTGTGGTTTCTGGCTAGAGTTTAGTGAATTTTATAGAATGTAGAAAAACTTCATACCAAAAACCTTAGATATAAGAAAAAAATACTAAAACTAAGAAAGAAAATGGATGTAGGATACGAGGGTTCTAGAGAGGATTATTAAAATTGGTGATCTTTTCAAGTTAAATTCTAAGTTATGGCTGTTAAGATGGAAATAATGATTGATGCTCAGATGAGGTCTCAATACTATAGTAATGTTATTGCTGCGAGAAAAATGGGCATTGTAAATAACCTTTTGAGGTGAGACTACTCAATCTTCCTAAGCAAGAATATGTAATAGATTTTTCTCATTTTTTTCTATTGCATGGCATAGTTTCAGGAATACAAAAGATACCTTTCACCTTGAATTAATGTGTTTGTCTTTACTGTGATATAATTGAGTGCTAAATTTCATGCAGTTTCTTCAGAGAAACCACTACCTCCCAAAAGCTTTACTGACAGTGAGGAAAATGAGTACTAATTTAAAATACAAAGACCTTAACTTTGTGGTACAGACTAATTCAAGCACTGGGGAAGCTGAAGCAGGCAGATCTCCAGTTTAAGGCCAGCATGGGTTACATAGCAAGACCTTATCTCCAATTAAGAAAAGCCGGGGGGGGGGGGGTGGCAGGGGGAGATGTGAATATATATGTAGATACATATTCACTTAGGTTTCATTAGAGACTAAAATTGAAGATTTGACATTGTGGTAGTTTATAGAGAGTTGATCAGAGATTGTGTCTTGGCTGAGTTGCTGTCTGCTTAGGCTGTTAACAATTGTTTTTCTGGCAGCAGATCTTGTTCATCAGGATTGCATCATTTCTGGGAGAAGTGCCAAGGTCCACAGCCTCAGTACAAAGACTGTGTGAAGCATATGAAGCCTGTTCTCTTTCTGAAGCGGCACTCCCCTTCCTGCCAGTCCTCTTCACAGGATTACTGAAGCAGACTTGTTCTGAAATTCTTTTCTGGGATTGGCCATTTACTAGACTGTTATCTCCCACCTGCTTCCGGCTCACCTGTCTGATGCAACTTCTTCTGAAATCTCAGTTGGAGTTGTTCTTAAAACACTCTCTTCTTAGAGTGACTAGATGGACTGTAGTTTCAGGCTTTCAACAACTCACATAGAAAAGATACTGTCATAATGATAAGAGATTCTTGGACTGGGAAGATGGCTCAGTGGTAGAGCGCTTGCCTTGCATGCTTGAGGCCCTGGGTTCGATTCCTCAGCACCACATAAGCAAAAAGAAAAAAGCCGGAAGTGGCGCTGTGGCTCAAGTGGTAGAGTGCTAGCCTTGAGCTAAAGAGCTGAGGGACAGTGCCCAGGCCCACAGTTCAGGCCCCACAACCAGACCCAAAAAAAGAAAAAAATGTAAGAGATTCTTGGGCTGGGAATGTAGTGGTTCAATTCCTCAGTACCACATAAACAGAAAAGACCAGAAGTGGTGCTGTGGCTCAAGTGGTAGAGTGCTAAGTCTTGAGCAGAAGAAGAAGCTCAGGCCCTGAGTTCAAGTGCCCACGCCTTGAGTTCAAGCCCCAGGACTGGCCAAAAAAAAAAAAGAAATGATAGAGATTCTTGACCATTCCCAAGTCCAATTAAAAAGAAAAGACATATACCATTTGATACACTTTCCCCTAGAAACTAAAAAAAAAAAAAAAATTAAGTACTCACTTTTAGGCTGATTCTTGTTTATGAATCTAGGAATTATTAATATCCTCTTGATCATTAAATCATTAAAAAGAAAATGAAATTCTGGTGCTTTCATTTTCCCCCTACTATATAAATTCATACTTCTTTTTTCTTCCAGTCCTTTCTCTTTATTTACTGTTCCTAAAGGATTCTGCTATTGCTTCCTTTATTTCTTTCCTTTACTGTGACCTTTATACCTTAAAAAAGTAAAACTTGTGGCTGGGAAGGTGGCACAGTGGTAGAGTGCATGCATTGCGTGCATGAGGCCCTAGGTTTGATTTCTCAGCACCACATAAGCAGAAAAGGCCAGAAGTGGTGCTATGGCTTAAGTGGTAGAGCACTAGCTTTGAGCTGAAATGCTGAGGGACAGCGCCCAGGCCTAGAGTTCAGGACCCACGACCAACATACATACATACATACACACACACACACACACACTCACACACATATGTAAAACTTTGGATATAATTTTTCTAAGACTACCTTATTTTGTACTCTTTTTTCTTCTTTTCTTCCGTGTGTGTGTGTGTGTGTGTGTGTGTGTGTGTGTGTATCGGTTGTGGGACTTTGGGCTTGGGTGTATGGGGGTGTGTGTGTGTCGGTCGTGGGACTTTGGGCTTGGGTGTTGTCCCTGAGCTCTTCAGCTCAAGGTGAGTGCTTTACCATTTGAGCCACAGCCCCACTTTTCAGAAGGTGGTTAATTGGAGATAAGAGACTCACAGACTTTCCTGCCAGTGCTAGCTTTGAACCGTGATCCTTAGATCTCAGCCTCCTAAGTAGCTAGGGTTACAGGCATGAGCCACCAGCGCCCAGCTCGTTTTGCACTTTTTAAGAAATTCCATAAAACATCAAAATGAATTTTAATGTCCACTTATGTTTGCTAACGAGTTCCATTCCCAACTTTCATAACAGTGATATTTGAAGCATTAATATATCATTCTGTCTGATGTTAGACTTGACATTTTGGAGAAAACACTAAAAACTTAAGGCATGCTAATCATTTTCCTTTAAGAAAAGTTCTTGATTACCTATTTTCATTTTTAGAGAATACAAAATTAATTAAAGCTCCCTTTTCAGTCATAAATGTTGGGTAAGACCTTGTCTGCTTAAAAACAAAATTTGATGTTTGCTTCATTTTTAAAAAAAAGTACTCACACATGTAATTCTAGCTACTCAGGAGGCTGAGATCTGAGGATCATGCTTCGAAGCAAACCTGAGCAGGAAAGTCCGAGAGACCCTTATCTCCAGTTAACTACTAAAAAGCCAGGCGTGGTATTGTAGCTTAAAGTGGTAGAGCATTAGCCTTGAGCAAATGGAAGTCCTGGACAGCCCCTTAGCCTTGAGTTCAAACCCCAGTACTGGCACCAAAAAAAATTCTGAAGAGATTCAGTTAAGAAGACCTTCCTAGGGGGCTGGGAAGGTGACTCAGTGGTAGAGCGCCTGCCTTGCATGCCTGAGGCCCTGGGTTCGATTCCTCAGCACCACATAAGCAAAAGGAAAAAGGCCGGAAGTGGCACTGTGGCTCAAGTGGTAGAGCGCTAGCCTTAACCTGAAGAGCTGAGGGACAGTGCCCAGGCCCAGAGTTTAGGCCCCATGACCGGACCAAAAAAAAAAAAAGAAGACCTTCCTAGAAGATAAAGGGGGGAAAAAACCCAGTACCCTTCCCCCCCCCCCCCAAAAAAAGGAATAAACAAAGGAAACAAAAGGACCCCTTGAGAAATGGGAGGTTATTTTTATTTAAAAAGAGAGGCATTAGCCAATATGAGTATTTACCCTTCTTAAAAGTAATTTTCCTCCTCACCCTTTATAGAAAATGGAACTTGTAAAGCTGTATTAAGGATTAAAATTGTAGAATTAAGTGGAGAATAAAGTAGTCAACCAAACAATGTAATAAATATAATTCAGAAATAAGATAAAGTAAAATTCCATTATGTTATTTCTTACTGTACTAATTTATGTCTCAACTTTTTCTAGGTCTTCAGAGCTACTGACATAACTTTGGGGCACTTCATATTCAGAGGTCTATGTAAAGGTGACTGACCCAAATCCTTTTAACATATTTTATTTTTTACATTTTAATGAATGCTGAAATCATATTGCTATAATTGTGATCACAATTCACTTAGCAGTTCTTTCTTATACCATCTTTTAATTTTTAAGAAGTTTGGTACTGGCTACTGGAACTACAGAAGAGAATAAAACAGAAAAATAGCCCTGTCCCCATAGTGTTTATTTTCTGGTAGTTTGAGATAGATAACAAATGTGTCTTGAAATTACATTCTTTTCCAGAACACATCTCTAAAATTATGACTCAAGTGATAACTGTTATAAATCCTGACTTTGATAAACTATAGTATGTATTGCCCTGTTTTATAAAATAGAACATTAAAATATTGCATATAGTTTATTTGTTAAAAGTTGTTCAGTTAATGTTGGAATGGCTATATATTGCACAATTATTTGGGAAAGCACCTATTCTCAATTATGTATGAAAAGTTTGAATTTGTTATCAGAATTAAGAAACCTAGGCTAATGCCTATAATCCTAGCCGCTCAGGGGGCTAGTATCTGAGGATCATACTTTGAAGCCAGCCCTGACAGGAAAATCCATGAGACTCTTATCTCTAATTAACCATAAAAAGCCGGAAGTGGAGCTGTGGCTTAAGAGGGATATCGCCCTAGCCTGAGTACAGAAGCTCAGAGAGAATACCGAGACCCAGAGTTCAAGCCCAGGACCAGCAAACAAAACAAAAAAAAAGACAAAAGAAACCCTGTCATTATGAAAGCATTATTAAGAATAGTATGATTGAATTGACTTATCAGAAGAGTGGCAGGATTATCCGAAACTAGATAAAATGGATATGGAAGAATTTATCAAAGAGAAATTCTTAACTTTTTTATGTGTTTGTTTGAGTTTGGCAATAGAAAGGAGGCTTTAGATTGCTGTGTTGGCAAATTTGAGAATGCAGAATGCTGTTGCCTCTACTCTATCTCATGAGTTTTTCCTAATGTTTCTTTAAGATTATTTATGAACTTGTGCAAAACAGCTAGGTTTGTATATCTCTTCATTCCTGAGACTGGATTTCATTAATGTAGTTCAGTTGGTCTCAAGCAGATATCCTCCTGCCTCAGTATTTTAAGTACTGGGATTATAGGCAATGTGGCATTATCCCTAGCCCTTGAGTTTGAATTTTAAGAAATACAGAAACAATTTGCTTGTTCTTTTAAAAAGTTACTGTCGGAGAAATAAATTAGCCATCAAATTATATTTAAGCTTCTACATTTAAAAATGTAGATAGGAGCCAGGCCGCCAGTGGCTCACACCTGTAATCCTAGCTACTCAGTAGGGAAAGATCTGAGGATTGCAGTTCAAAACCAGCCCAGGTCATACTTTGAAGCTAGCACTGGCAGGAAAGCCCATGAGACTCTTAATCTCCAGTGAACCACCAGAAAAACCAAAAGTGACACTGTGGCTCAAGTGGTACAGTGCTTGTCTTGAGCTGAAGAGCTCAGGGACAGTGCCCAGGCCCAGCGTTGAAGCTCCATGACCAACAACAACAAAAAATGTTGATGGCTTTGCATTTTAGTCCTCAGTCTAGCTATGTTACCTCCAGATGGGTAGGAACAGGTGTGAGAATCCTACATTCGTTGATACAGCTCATTGAAAGTATGGGTACCATAGACACTAAGTTGTTTATGGATATTCAGCAAGCTAATGATTCATAAATATTAACTTTATGTGATCTTAAAAATCTTTTAGTTTGCCATTCATAATTAGTTTTCTTATTCATATTAAACTTTACGTATCAAAGGCACACTTGAACATCTCAAAACAGCAGCTGTTTAAAATTTTTCATTAATCCTTCAATCAGTATGATACACTTTTCATTCCATTAAGTTTTTTAGTACTAAAAATTGTTTGACTTTCCTACTCTTATCATAATTCAGAATATATCATAGGTTAGGCTCGTTGGCTTATGCCTATAATCCTAGCTGCACATAAGTGTAAATAAGAGAATAGTTGTCCAGAACAGCCTTGGAAAAATAACTAAGAGTGTGATTCAAACAGTAGAGCACCTGCCTAACAAGCACAAATCCCTGAATTCAAACTCTGATGCCCCCTCAAAAGTTTGTCAGTCATGATTTTTTTAAAGTCTCTTTTTGGAAAAAAAAAATAATTATAAACCTGAATTTTTGACATTCACACTTCTTCCCTCTTACATAAAATACTTTTTATTTCACTCTTTTTTAAAAAGATGTACAATTATTAAGCATGTAAGTTTTCTTTTTTGTGCCTCCAAATCTCAATTTACTTCTGCTTTTTAATTCTTCAGCAGTTTTTGGGTCTCTTTTCCAAATTAGCAGTTTTGAGTATGTTTTTGTCCAAAATCACCTAGTATAAGATCACCAAGTCAAGGTGTGCTTAATTGCCTTTTTTCACAAAATTCTCTATAATATACTTCATCATGAAGTTATTCCACATAGTTTAGTTCCAGTATTGTGTTTTATATCCAGAAAGAGGCTCATACACACTAGTTTTAAAAGCAGTTTTAAGTTTTTGACAGAAGTGAACAGACAGAGATTTCCATATTCTGTGCATACAAATTCATAGTCTCTGAAGGTATGTTTTTATTTACATCTGACAATATATATTAGTACACATACATAGTTGTTAAGATCACTGCAGCTTTGCTCAGAAATAAAGTTTTTAAAAGATTGCTTGAAAGAAAAAGTGAAAAAAACTAGTAAGAAACAATTATAAGCAATCAAATACAAGTAGCAAGTTAATTTCTTCTACCAGATTTAATTTGGGAGAAATAACATTTATGACTGCTGGTAGGACTTGGTTTATCTGTTGCCTTGGCCAAAGAATTGTTGAGAAGTTTAGACTAGAGTATTTCTAATCCTCAGTCTTTAAATTTATTGGATAGGCCTAGATTAATAGGGGTTTTAGTGAGCTGGCAAGTCATTACTTTCCCTTTGACTGAAAGTAAGAATAATGTATAGCTATTGTATTTTGTAGAAAATTAATGATAGTGTATAGTGATCATAGAATTTATTATTTAGAAGAATTCAAAAGCACAGAAAACTACTCTCAGATTTCAAATAAATTTAAAGTATTATCTTGTTGCTAGCTATTTTCCTTGTTTGTGACAGGATTCCTCATGTCCATATCATGTTGGCTGAGGCTGTACAGCTCACCCCCACTCTCAGAGTGGTCAGTCTCCATTAATTGGACCCCGTGATTTCCATTCTCTGCTGTGTTGGACGTCATGAGCATTGCAGTCCCTCTGGGAGTAACTACACCAGATACATCCTATTCAGATATGGCTGCTGGATCAGAGTAAGTGGTAATTCCTAGGTACATTACCAATTTTGTGTGAAAAGTTTTCTTGTAGGTAGTAATAAGCTATAATTTTCTTGACCAAAGCCCACCCCATTATAAATGACATTAGACTTTGCCCTTTTTCTCCCAAAGAATATGGAGAGGAAAGAGAATTTTAAGTGGGGGGAAGAAGCTTTTAGGGAAGGATTTCTGGGTAAATTAGTAATAGAATCAAAGTTGCAAAGTAGTGATTACATTTTTCTTTTGTTTTCATGAATGAGAAAATTGAAATTAAGTAGGTGTCACTGCCTGCTTCTATAGAGTTAATGGTTATTCTGATAGAGGGAGATAAGGAGATTTTCTTTCCAACTGATTTTCTTCGAAGGCCTCTTCCTAAGTACTTTTCATTCTAAAATAAGGGGGCTAAAACTTTATGTGGGCAGATTGCTTAGTCTGACTTTTGGGGTAGAAAACATAAAGAGCAGTTCCAAACTGTTTTTTTTTTATAATATTCATTGCCTAGAAAGAGGACCTTCAAAATCAGTGGTACCAAACTTGTTTTTCAGCTAAGAGCAGCATTAGGAGTTCAGTTTGTCAAAAAGCCCAATCCCTAAAATAGACTCTTCAATTCTTGAAGAATGTAAATACCAAATGACAGTGAAGGTAGGCCTTCATTATACAACTTTATATATTAATCAGTTTTTAAAATTTAGCCTTTTGTATCCCTTCTTTTTTAAGTTGTCCAAGATTCCCCCTGCTCACAGATTCCCCCTCTTGTCCTTTTACCTCCCTTGTACCCAATCTTCCTTGCTTACAGAAAGGAAGTGGAAGCCCCCTACCTTTCAAGACGAAGTGGCACTACACCAGGATGTGAAAGTCCAGCGAAAGAGACCCAAGGGGCCTAGGGGGCAGCACACCCCCAGAAGCCAAGTCTATTCCAGGCAGTACCAGGGATTAGGGTCTGGGCTGGAAAAATCCTGGTGTTTTGAATATGTTCAGGTCCAGTTCAGACTCTTGATCCCACAGCCACTTCTTGAGTGAGGTGGGTGTTGCTCTAATTCCCCTGTTTCTCTTGCCATTTTCATAGTCCCTGGGGGTTCTTCCCCTTGAGCAAAGCAAAGCAACTGTACCAGAATTCTGGGTTGAACGGCATCCTTTATTAATAGGGCTTCTTTCTTAAAACTGAGACTATGATTAAAGAGCATGTGTATTTCTTCATAAGGCCACCTATTTATCATTACTTGTTTATTGGGTTCCTTGAACAAGACTTAAAACTACCCTAGGAAATGATATATAATATTCTGGGGTAGTATGAAGCTGAGAATAGTTTTCAAGCTTATCCCATATTGAAATGAAGAGGGAGGGTGGGGAAATGGGAAAGGAAGAGTGACTTTCTATTTCGTTTAAGGCTATTTATTTTCTTTTATTATTAGTTTGCATGACAAAGATTCAGTTAAACCATTAGCTGAGATTTCCAAATATATAAATATTTCCCCAAATAGATCACTTAAAAATTTTCCTGCATTATTACATATCCCAGTTGTATAGTGTTTAGGTATTTATAAAATCAGCTATTTACCTGCTATGATCTGATAACAGGAAGACATTTTAACATTTGTAAGAAATTTCAGTAGAGATTAAACCAATAAATTTTAAATTACTAAGAACAAGATCCAAATCAATTATTCTGAAAATTATTATCTTTCCCAATTAGTATAGTGATAATTGACTATAAATGTTGCTAGGGAATCTAGTAATGGCTACAGAAATAAAAATACTTCTGGTATGCAAATTTGACTACATTGCCACATCTCAAGAGTTCCTGAACATTTTCTTCCATTATTTTCATAAGTTTATGATGCTGTAGTCATAACTAATTTCACAGTTATTCTTTTATTAGTTGTATAAAAGAAGAGACTATCAGTCATTGGCTTATATACTTCTACTTTTCAATGTTTCATCATGCCTATTCCCCTATTCTTAGTACATTTAAAATTAAACTGCTCTTAAAGAGCAACATATTGGACCAAGTGGAGACCTAAACCATACCTCATAGTATTTTAAATCTGATACCAACAATATACAGTCTGCATTTTTTGATACTTATACGAAAACTTATAATAAAAGAAAGATGTTTCTGGACTTAAAACTCTGCCCTAAGAGTTTTGGTCATTTTAAGAGGTGGCATTATAGCAGATTATATACTGTACAAAATTGATGGAGTTTATCCGTTGTAAACCTGGTTTTTACTGTATGTGCCCAACTCTCACACAACTCATAGAAAAAAGGATACAATTATATGTATAAATTGATTGTCTAATAAAGACATGTAATCTTAGTACTCCTTTTGTTGTTTTGTTTTTGTAGTGCTGGGGATCCAACAAACACAGATCCTCATACCTGCTTAGGCAAACACTCAACTATATCCCCAGTTTCTGTTTTAACATACAGATAAGAATTGATGTATATGTCAAGGACTATTCTAGGGAGTCCTCTGGTTAGCTGCTAATATCTCTATCATTGGTAAACAATGAAAGAATGGTAGGGGTTATTTTTAATTAAAACATACAAACTTAAATTTTAGATTAGGCATGCATAGCAATGTATTAAATGCTGTGCTTGACTGGATAATATTGAACAATAGGGTGGCCTGTTAACCTGCACAATATACATTTTATTTTTATTCCCTAGACTTGCACATGAAGTGCATATGTTCATATTTACCCAGTTTGGAGATGGGTAAGATATAATCAACATAGCTCCATCTCCATGGCCATCTTTTATTTCATAAAACTTTCCTTTTTCCCACTACCCCCAAGGGGTGGGGGTGGGGGGAACATTTGTAATGAACAGCTGTCATATTTCACCCCATGTGTTTAATGGTACAAAATCTCCTAAATAAAACATGTATAGCTGTTGAGAATATTTAGTAATGCACCCAGTAAATTGACTGTATAAATCCATTACTGTTTTTAGCTGTCCATCATAGAAGCTAAATTCTATATTCATTTTAGAAGCTAAATTCTATCTTCATTTTATTAATGCTTGTCTACCTTTGATTTCATTTAGGAAACCCTGTTTCCTAAGACTCAGAGTTGATTGCCTCTTAATGAGCCATGTTCAGATCATGTCTTTTTTCAAGAATACTGACCTGCATTCTTGATGTATCCCTTCCCCAACAGTTCCCATCATACAGACACTATCAAATAATAAATGCATGCACTTCACTAATAGAAAATACTTTCCTATGTCTAAAATTCTTCTTCACCTAGAAATTGCCTTTGCTGTTATTAATAAGATCCCTTCTCACAGTTTTGGAGCATAAAACTGGGTGAGTTGGATATGTACCTCAGAATTTTCTTTTACCCCACATTTGTCAGTTGATGTGCTACATTGACTTGCACACTTTATTCCTGCCAAGTGCTCTGTGTTGTGAATTTTGAAGCAGGAAAAGTATTATTTGAAACAAACTATGTCTTATTTGATTCCCTAAAAGACCTAATGATCTTTAAGGTTGAATTATGCTAGTATTTGGAGTTTCACTGTTTTCATATAAATTAGAACTAACACATTTTTTGTTCTGCCAAGTCATACAATTAAAATTAATTATTTCTCAAAACATCCCCAAAATCAATTGACAAAGTTAAATTTCTTTATTCATTTAAAAACACTTAAATTTTTATCTTTTCCATGTATACTTTTTTATTAGCAAGCAAAGGCTTATATTAAATGTACACATTTAAGTACATTTATATTTTTTATGTTAATACATTTGCCTGAATAGTTTATTTTCCACTAATAAAGATACAGAAAGGTTCTATACTAAGGTTTTTATTAAATCTTGGTTAATAAAAGGTCTCAAAATAATTTTCACTAAGGGCAAAATATACTGGAAAGTATCCAGGCTTGAGAGTCAGACGTTTGAAACCTTGGCTCTGTTGATGTATCTCCTTGGGGGAAATCATGTAATCCTAACACCTCAATTTCCCCCTTTATAAAATTGGGGTACTGTTCACCATGTTTAATGGTTGCAGAAATTAAATGAATTATACATAAAGCAAATAACAGGTGATTTACACTAATAGCTGCTACTACCATTACTGTGTCGCTAAACTAAGGTAACTTCGAAGTTCAGTTTTTATTATTTGAAGTCCTGTGGTATTAACCATGCAGCTGTTAAATAATTGTATCCTTGATCTGCTTGCATGTCATTGGTGGATGAGAAATTATTACTCTAATATGTGAAGGTGTTTGGGGGTTCATCAAGATGAGAGGTGTGATAAATATAAGATGCCATTGTTTTTACCTGTACTTTCTTCAGGGTATCCTGTCTTGGTAGTGAATGGAAGAGGGCCTGGTCCCTGGGGCAGTGCAGAAGGCACTTTCATCATCTCACTCACTGCAAATGTCATGTGAGGTTTCATGGAAGTATTAAGAGATCCAATTAAGAAGAATAGTTCTGAGTCTAAACCAGCCCAGAGTGGCTTCTCTAGGGGAAACTCCCCGCTCAGCTGGTACGTTTGTGTTTGTCATTAGGGACACCTTGTATCCCAGGTGCCTGCCTTGAGACATCTGCCTGTACTGGCTTCATGTTACACACAAATCCACATCAGTAACACTCCTACTGTTATTTTTAGGCTTAGTTATGTTAATCAGATTGTTTCAGTGAGTTCTTACTCTAGTGGCTGGTGGTTGTGGAAAGGGATTAGATGGGAAGTGAACTGTTAAGTTTAAAGGAAAGATTAGGTGTTATGCTATCATGCATTGCTTTTCGCCTTTGTGCAGCCCTGAATCTGTGGAGGCTAGTCCAGCAGTTAATGAGAAGAGCGTGTATTCCACTCATAATTATGGGACCACTCAGAGGCTGGGGTGTCGAGGACTGCCTTATGCTGTGAGTATGCATTTGTTTCTCTCCAGAGCAGTGATCTTCTTGGAGTGTAATCCATTCTTATACATTGTGACTTTCTTGAAATGTTTATATGCAGCATGACGAAGTTGCCCCTTTTGCACTTCCCTGCCTCCAGCGGACGTCTAGCCCTGCATCATTGTTCTTGTTTTTATGTCCCAGTTGACCTTGGCATTTTGTTTTATCACTTTCCTGGTTGAAGCCAAAAAAACAAAGGGTACTACTTTCTTCTTTCTTTCCATATGTACCATACTTTAGGGGAGAGAGGGGCCAGTGTTTGGACACTGTTGATTTAAAAAATCTTATTTTCAGGATCATAATTACGGAGCCCCTCCTCCTCCGACACCTCCTGCTTCTCCCCCTGTCCAGACGATCATCCCTCGTTCTGACCTGAATGGCCTGCCGTCGCCCGTAGAGGAACGCTGTGGAGACAGCCCGAACTCTGAAGGAGAGACTGTTCCTACCTGGTGTCCTTGTGGTCTTTCTCAGGATGGCTTCCTTCTCAACTGTGACAAGTGCAGGTAAGATCCTGTTTCATCTAAATTCAAGCCTGGGTTGATGGGATTAGGGTTTCTTATTAGTAGGGAAAAGCTCAAAGTATTCTTTCTTGTGTTTGTTAATGTAGATGATTCCTTAGTGCTCCTTGGCTCGAATTCTCTGCACTAGGTGAGAATTGCTGACAACAAGGAATGAGAGATTGATGTTAAAGCTATTGAATTTGATATGAAATTTAATGTCCTGGAAACATTTGGTAGGTGGGAGGGAGGGGGTAGTATATGCAGAGATACTTCTCCCGTGTGTGTTATAATGTGCTGCATGCTGTTGGAAGGACTACTTTAAGTTTATTTTCCCTCTTTAGGGGAATGAGCAGGGGGAAGGTTATTAGACTTCATCGGCGGAAGCAGGACAACATATCAGGTAAGCTTAAGATGGGTTAAGCGTAGATTTTAACATGTAAATAGTTTGTGGTTGAATATTCTCTTAAGACTCCCTGTTATAAGTTCTTACGGTCTCCAGATTTTTTCATGGAGAGAGATGTCCTTTCAAGACTACTGTATAGTTCTGTCTTTCTGAGTTAAACAGATAGAAACAACATCTTAGTCCTGTAGCAAAGTGTTTTGTTTGTTTTGGGTTTTTTATTTGTTTTTTTTTGTTTTTTTTTTGTGAAATCCCTTTTCTTTGTATTATATATCTCAGATTGTTATATTTTAAGGTAGTAGAGCTTGGATACAAGGGAAGAAGTTGATGTAATGTAGAACACAGTTTATATGCTTAATGCCAATAGCAGAAGCAGTCTTGTTTTCCTAAGAAAGGTGGGTGTATGTGTTGTTTCACAGTTGATAAGTTAATAGAAGTAATGATATCCTGAATATGGGATACATTTAAAAGAGTAAGCTGATGTCAGGACAGTTTGGGGACTGTTAGTCCCTAAACTGTGAAATCACCCTTTTTTTAGGTGGGGATAGCAGTGCAACAGAAAGCTGGGATGAGGAGCTTTCTCCTTCCACTGTGTTGTATACAGCAACACAGCACACACCTACAAGCATCACCTTAACTGTTAGAAGAACCAAACCCAAGAAGCGGAAAAAGAGTCCAGAAAAGGGTCGTGCAGCACCAAAGACGAAGAAAATCAAGGTATGGGGAGTAAAAAATATCTAAAGTAGAAATATGTCTGAAATAGCTCATTTTTTGGAGTAAGAATGCCTTTCTCTGGAGGCATGACTCAGCAGTAGAACTCCTGTCTAGCAAGCATGAGTTCAAACCCCAGGACTGCCAAAAAGAAAGAATGAAGAATGTGACTCAAATGTTTAAAGCTTGAAGGGTTTAGTTATAAAAATGAGTTAATGTGTTAACATTCACATAGACCTGTATCTCTTCTGCTGCACCATACCATTACCACTGGCTCTTTTAAGTGTCTTCTACTCCAACCCCCATCTCAGGTATGAAATTCCAGCCGTGTCTGGCACAATTCCATAAGTATGTGTTGTAGCCTTGACTCTAGGTTTTCTATTCTTACAGCAGCTCCCCACCACTCAGTTCAAAGCAGTATGATGATACTCTTCTAGTTACATGTCTACCTCGTTTCATTTGGGTCAGTAGTTTTTTCTTGTTTCTAAAAAGCAAAACAAAAATAAGGAAACATCTCTTGTGAATGGTCTCAGCTTCCATAGTGTCATGGTCACTTTTCTGTATTCTCAACTAAAGACTCTCCAGCAGAAACCTCTTCTTTTTGATGTTCTTTCTTCCCCATCACAGCAACTTTGTTGCTCTTAGGTGACTTGCCCACCCCTTCTAAAGGGCAGTGGTCTTTGTTTCCTTCTTCACTTCAAAACTGGTAAATCTGCAATTTAAGATTTTAAATTACTTTTTCTCTTAATACCAGGGGTACCTGTAGCATTTCAGTTGTGCATGCTTTTCTCTGTTAGTTACCTAGCTCTATCATAGAACATATGAAGGTTAGAGTTCATTGGCCTTGATCTATCTGTATTCTTGATAATAGTCTGGGGGAGTTCTATTGGATTTGTTATATAGAGAAAAGGGGACAGAATAGAACACTAGTTTATCACTTAGTTTTAATCTCAGATAGGTATAACTGTCATTCTCGGTACCAAGTTTTGTTTTGTTCTACTTGTTTTCCTCTTTGGGATAGGCATTTCGAGAGGGATCCCGGAAGTCCTTGCGGATGAAGGTAAGGGGTTAATCTTCCCTGATGCTGTGTTTTACTTCACTGTGATCTTGCATTTTGGTCAGCTTCTCTCCTGACATTGATGGTCTGGGAATCTTGAAGTCTGCTTCTCATTAGTTTGTGATTGTTGCCATTCAGTTTTCATAGAACTTTTTTCCAAAGTAGCTTTTCTGGACCATTTTCTGAAATGTTTTCCTTTTGTGTAATGAGCCTTAATTTATTGGGTTTTTTGTTAGCTGCTTTTCGGTGAGTGGGTAAGTGATATTTTATCACACAATGAGGTGGATGTGTTTTGTTACTGTCGTTGGGCTTAAGCTCAGGAGTGAAGGTTTTCTGGTAACAGATCAGGATATCTTGTTCACCTCCATCCTAGCATCATGTGGGCTTTTAACAATCAGTTAAAAACTCATTTGCAGAAAGTTGTATTATTGATAAGAATTGGCCCTATTGGAATTGAACTGTTTTTTCCTGAAATAGCTTCTATTTGATGGATGCAATATTTGTATGTTTCTTCCATTATCAAATAAAAAGGCTTATGAGGCATGATTTTATAAAGAAGCTAGAGAATAGTGAAATTATGTACAGTACTTTAAAGGGACTTTATGTACTAGTTGAGAATGGTTTGCCAAAAGATTTGATTATACTATCTGATGTCTTACGGACAGAGAGAGAGAGAGAGATGGCATACTTCACAAAGCATTACTTAAAGAGTTTTGAAGCTTTAGTTAGAATTAAGTTGTACTTTAATTCTGTAAGTACTCATGCAATAAAGGTAGGCTCTTTGCAGTTGGCAGTTATATGGTATAAACATTAAAATTCCTAAGTGTGGATTACCCTTATTAGGAGTACTTGTGTATTTATGACTGATGTAATCAAAGATTATAAATAACATTTTATCCATTCAGAAGGCTTCACCTGTGTAGATGGGACACTTAAAGTCATAATGTATCAGAGGCCTGGGATATGTTTTAGAACACAACATAAACATTTCTTTATTTAGACCTTGCAACTTGCAAGTATCCAAAAATGCTTTAAGCATCCCTTTCATTTTATCTAATTTGTTAAAGAGGGGCCCTTGTGTAGTTTATGGGGTAACTGTAGATTTGATCTCAGCCACAAAGGAAATACCTATAACTTACTTTCAGGAGTTTCAAAACCTTTTGAAAGCTATCACCTGTCTGTCCCAGAAAACTGCATAAATTTGACATTTTACTTACAGTTTGGGGAAGTTGACAGACTGTTAACATTAAGATAGAATAAAAATAATCTATTATTTTATTTTTGATGCCATAATTCTAAGTTGGATTGTAAATTTTGTGCTAATAAAACTTCAGCAAAGATCTAGGTAGGAATTATAAGGGTGGAAAAGTTTGGTCATTTGCACTTCTATTTATTTATTTTTTGTTGGTCGTGGGGCTTGAACTCTGGGCTTGGGTGCTATCCCTGCACTCTTCAGCTCAAGATGAGTGCTCTACCACTTGAGCCACAGTACCACTTCTGGTTTTCTGATGGTTAATTGGAGATAAGAGTCTCACAGACTTTTCTGCCCTGGCTAGCTTTGAACCGTGATCCTCAGATCTCAGACTCCTCAGTAGCTAGGATTACCGGCGTGAGCCACCAGCGCCCAGCTTCATTTGCATTTTTAATATCAAGTCAAGAGCTTTCCTACTAGAAACTTGACTCTAGTGATATGTTAGAAGAACTAATTCTGGGCTGGGAAGGTGGCTCAGTGGTAGAGCACTTGCCTTGCATGCCTGAGGCTCTGGGTTCGATTCCTCAGCACCACATAAGCAAAAAGAAAAAAGCCAGAAGTGGCGCTGTGGCTCAAGTGATAGAGCGCTAGCCTTGAGCTGAAGAGCTGAAGGACAGCGCCCAGGCCCAGAGTTCAGGCCCCACGACCGGACCCAAAAAAAAGAAGAACTAATTCTATAGACTGTCCTTTGGGTCTCTGGCCATCAACTCACTAGGTATAATAAAACACACATGCACACTTGCAATTCAACTGTCTCCAGAAGGCAAATTGACCTGTTTAGAAGCACCATTCTAAACCTAAGGAATAATTCTCTAATGCCTATATGATGATGGAACAGCACAATATACAAAATCAGAGTAATGAACAATATCTACAACTGTGGAAAGGCTTCCAAAATAGAGTAGGTTTAACAAGTCATGTGTTTAGTGATTCACAATCCAGTGCTTAAAGCTAGAAGTACTGTTTGGGCACTCCTAATCCCCAGTCTTAAAAGCAGTCCCTTAACTCAGGTTTTATACTATTCATTTGCTCAGCTGCTACTGAATACAGTAAGCTATTCATCATGTATTGGTTTTAGATGCTTCTTAGACCTCTTTGTTTATTGCTCGGTCTTTTTGTACTCTAATGAAAAGTGCGGGGATCATGGTATTAACATTTTTCTGTTTCTGAGGGGGAAAATAGACAGCAGTAGATAGTGATGCAAAGGTGCTTTAAAAAAAAACAAGGCAGATATTATAATAGGCCTGAGTGTTTTCTGTACTATTCATCAAAAGTATATTTCATTTTGTTATTCTTGTTTTTGGAAATTTAATGTGGACATAAATTTTCAGGGAGCTTTGGTTACTGTAATGTCTTCCTTCTAGTCATCACTAGTATGTCATTCCTATCAGTGTGTTTGTTTTCTGACATGTATCGGGCTTAAGCTGTATCTCTAGCTCAAACACAGGATGTTGTTCATAATATTGTTACTATAGAAGACAATGGTTTTCCTATAGGGCTATAGGACCTCTCATAATTTCTACATTCCCTCTATATACTTCTTTCCTCTTATTTACCTCTTCAGATAATTTAGAAGATGGTGGAATAAATAATTAAAGATAAAATCCTGGAAAGATATAATCCCAAATAACTTTTTCTCTTGAGTAGTAAGATGATGAACAAATGTTAGTTTTGCCATAAAAATAACAAGTGATACAAAAATAAAACCATTCCTGAGAAAAGTAAAATAAGCTAGACTCTCGCAAAAGTGAATGTTACTAAGTTGAAAATAAGTAAACATATTAAATTTTTAATATGGTAATTTGAGGTTTATGAATAGCTTTTTATGAAGATTTTCTTAGAAACTTGAATCAGTCTTTTAATTAAAAACAAAATTTGATTTTTTTATTATGGCTATAAAATCAGTGATAGAATGAAATAATGGCCGAGGTTAAGTTTCCCTATTTAAGTTGTTCAGGTCCTCATAGTTCATTGGTGATGAAACTGTGATAGAAGCCACATCACCTAACTGTAACCCATTGCTCTTTCATGCTACACTAACTGCCATGTGGAAGCATGTTTTCTCTGTGTCTTCCCCTCCTTGCTATACATGGATTCTACTAACCTACTTACTTTTGTTTTCTGCAGAATTCTCCCTCTGAAGCACAGAATTTAGATGAGAATACAACTGAGGGCTGGGAAAATCGAATAAGACTATGGACTGATCAGTATGAAGAAGCCTTCACTAATCAATATAGTGCAGATGTACAAAACGCCCTTGAACAACATCTGCATTCTAACAAGGAATTTGTGGGCAAACCTGCTATTTTAGACACTATTAATAAGACTGAATTGGCCTGTAATAATACAGTTATTGGTTCCCAAATGCAGGTAAGGACCAAAGGGTTAAATACTAAAACTAAGTGGTTGAGGTATATAACCTAGGAAGAGAGGGTATGGGTTTGAATTACTGTGTCTTTCAAGTACATAGTATCTGAAAATAACAAATTAAGCAACTATTGATTATCTTCAGCCAAAAACAGGTTATAGTCACTTGAGAATGTTTAGATATGTATATTTTTAAACTGTGCTTTTATTAATCAAAAGTAGATGAATTACCTTGGAACGTAGCCTAGATAGGAATTATGAAAGATTTGTAGAAAGCTAAACTCATTCTTAGTTTTGTACAGCCACAGAAATTTTTACAATGTTGTTTTTATTTGATCTTTTCTTGTCTTTTCTGGGGTGGCAGGTTCAGTAGATGGAGTTCCTACAAAAATTGAGCTTCTATCAATTTCAAAATTTTCTGGTCGTCAAGCTAAATAACATAACTTATAAAAACCCACAAATGTTGGTGCATTTTTGACAATTATGAAATATTTTAAATGTCTACTAAGCTGCTGTTGGTATCTAATGTTAACATGTTGGTTTTATTCAGTTACAGCTGGGAAGAGTCACTCGTGTTCAAAAGCATCGCAAAATCCTGAGGGCTGCAAGAGATCTGGCTTTGGATACTCTTATAATAGAGTATCGTGGGAAAGTCATGTTACGGCAACAATTTGAGGTCAATGGGCATTTCTTCAAAAAGTAAGAGCATCATTCATTGAACACTGAGGGCTAGTGAAGTTCTGAATAGTGTTGCTGTAAATATCCTGGTTGATAAGCTACTCTTGGAAAAAAGCTTATGTGTCTCCTCTATTTGTACAAAAATGCAAATAAATCTGCTAATTGTTCAGTGTATAAAGTAGTGATAGCTCCTTTCCAAACAGAACAGTCTTTGCTTTGTACACATTCTTTAAATCAAAAGCAGAATAGCATGTGATGTTTTTCAAGTTAAAGCATTGCAAAAGATTGCTGCTGTTTCTGTCAGCATTTGCATCATATTTAGAGACATGGGGTGACCTTTTTGTTTATCAAGATTTACAGGAATTTTAATTGTATCCCTAGACCGTATCCCTTTGTGCTCTTCTACTCAAAATTCAATGGTGTAGAGATGTGTGTGGATGCCCGTACTTTCGGTAATGATGCCCGGTTCATCAGAAGATCATGTACACCAAATGCAGAGGTAAGATATCTGTAGTAACTTTTCTTTTAATGGAACCACCCAAGGACAAGTTTATGAAGAAACGATCTGAGAATTGTACCCAGATGAAGGTCTGTAATTGATAGATGTGTTTCAATGCAAGAGATAGAACGCAAGGAATGAAATTTCTCTAGAGAAGGCAAAAATGGGAAAAAGCAGGAAAACATTTGCTGAGAAGTCAGAGCTAGACTCATTAAGAAGTCAATAATGTTAAAGAAATGGTCATATTGTAGAAGTTTTACTGTGCAGGCTTTAGGGAAAAGTATTATAAGAGACATTCTGGACATTTCTAGAGTTTATTACTCAGTGCCACCACAACAAATGCTTTATCAAGAGCTTTATTTACAGGCTAGTGATTTTCAGTTCTCTTACAGAGCTAAGAAAAACTTTTAAGATGTAAAGCAAGGAGACTGAGATCTGAGGATCGTGGTTCAAAGCCAGCCTAGACAAGAAAGTCTGTGAGACTCTTAGCTCCAGTTAACCACAAAGAGCTGAAGTGGAGCTGTAGCTCAAATGGTAAAATACTAGCCTTGAACACAAAAGTTCAGGGACAGAGCCCAGCTCCTATGTTCAAACCCTAGGACTATCCAAAAAAAAAAAAAAAAGATGTAAAGCAGTGATTTTGCCCTGACTTCAAATATCTCAAAAGTTATTACAAGAAGTCTTGTAAATTTAGAAGCTCTTGCTCTCATAATGTAATAATTTCACATGAAGAATAAAGTTAAGGAGTAGTGTATTGTAGCTCTGAATCAGGAAAAAATTACTTGGATAAAGGAGTTCTTTTCCTTTTCATGGAAAATTGCCTTGTTTATACAGGTGAGACACATGATTGCGGATGGGATGATTCACCTGTGTATCTATGCTGTATCTGCCATCACCAAGGATGCTGAGGTCACCATTGCATTTGATTATGAGTATAGTAACTGGTAAGACTTTATAAATCTTTCCTAACATGAATACATTAAGCTTTTGACACTCCTTAAGATCTATGCCCATTCCTTATTCTTTTTTCTCTGCTCAATCTTTTTATGCATGAGTGACTTTTTTTCCTCTAAGAATTGTGAAGGAGAAAAAAAAGACTTTTTTTAAAGAAGCTTAAGCACATCAAGTCTCCTAATAATGATATTGACTTATTCTTAATTATAAAAGATGTGTAAGAGACATACTCAAATGTAACAACTCTTATGCACAGAGCATTTGTACTAGAATCTGAAAGGAATGAGATTTGTAATAACTTACACCATCTACTCAAACCACAAAATCATACAGTATGTGATAATACAGAAGAATAGAGGTAACAAGTCATAGGTAGTATATAGTGGGTTTTATACAGTAGAAGCTTTTTCTCCCTTTGTGGTTTGGGAGAAAATAAAAGTCATGCGGTAAAATGAATTTATACTGCCTGGCTTACTGCCTACTCAATCAACATCATAAGAATAAATTGGAGAATTTAATTGTTTGGTCTGGCTTTATTTTTCTTTATTATTTGGAGGCATAGACTTAGGATATACAAAAAATATATACTATCAAAAAAAGTGTTCATAAGGACTCTATCATGCTTTGTTTAACTTATTTAGAGATAATACTGAAGGAAATTATGCTGATGTTTCATTTGGGTGAATGGTTAATATACCAGATTTTCAGTGATACTGAAACAGGCCTTGTGGTTGTTTCTTTGGAGCAGTAATTATAAAGTGGACTGTGCATGTCACAAGGGGAACCGGAATTGCCCTATTCAGAAAAGGAATCCTAATGCTGCCGAATTGCCACTCCCACCCCCTCCAACCCTACCCATCATTGGAGCAGAGACCAGACGTAGAAAAGCACGACGGAAAGAGCTAGAGATGGAGCAGCAGAATGAAGCTCCAGAAGAAAATAATGACCAGCAACCACAAGAAGTTCCAGAAAAAATAAATGTATCCAGTGATCATGAGGTAATCTTTCCTAGACATCAAAATGTTATGGTCTCAGTCCTCTCCAAATGAAGCAACTTCCAACTTTCCACATGTTTTAGGGAATCTGTAATAATACTTAGTGGTATTTATGTCAATGAAACTGAGCATTAATTTTCTTTGTGTAATGCCAAGAACATCTTTCAATATCTCAATATATATTGCTTGCCTAGTAGCATGACAAAGTACTGGGCTTTTCATTCATAGCATAGAAAAAAAAAAATTTTTTTTAAATCAGGTAACTTTTCAGGTCAGTGAATGAAGTATCTGTGCTTACCTTGTAACCTTACATGAGTAACACTTCTAAGTACTGAAAGCAGTTTCTAGGAAGCCATAAGCTACCAGAATTAAGCAGATTGCTTTATCTCAGATTTTAAGTGCACCATAATATTCCATCTATCTTAAAGGAAGTAGACAATCCAGAAGAAAAACCGGAAGAAGAGAAAGAAGAAGTTATTGATGACCAGGAGAACCCAGCTCATAGCAGGAGGGTGAGTGTCATCCAACATCCCTTTGCTTCTTTTGATTCCTTCTACCTACAGTATGTGAACCCTTCTCTTTTAACTTTCCATCATCTCTTTGATCTAATTTGGAGGTCACAGTTAAGGCTTATTCCGTAAGCTAGATTTTATTAATTTCCTTGATTTGAGTTTTAAAAAATAAAAGTCAGCTTTACGTTGCTCTGAAAAAATACCTAAGAAAATAACTTAAATACAAAGGTTTACTATGGCTCACTAGTTGAGAAGTTTGAGTCCATGGTGTACAGGCTCAAACTCAATGAAACAGAGACAAAACTCTGTTTTAGATATAATCTTCAAACTCAAGCCTACAACTTACTGCCTCCAAGCAGGTCCTACTTCCTATTGAAATCCTCCAGCTCCCAATACTGCTTCCATTGGGGGGGGAGCAGGGGGAGGGTAATTTCAAGCTTTCACCTCTTGAGTGAACCTTTAGAGTATATTGCAGATCCTAATCAAAGCACCCTCCCAGTTATGTTGATTAAAAAATTGGTTTTAACCAAGCACATACCTGTAATCCTAGCTGTGGAGACCAAGAACTGAAATCACAATTTGAAACTAGCACAGGCTATAAAGTCCATGAAACTCTGTATCTCCAATAATAACCAAAAATCCACAAGTGGAGCTATAGCTCAAGTGGTAGAGCACTAGCCTTGATCAAAAATCCTCAGGGACAGTTCCCAGGCCCTGAGTTCAAGCCCCAGAACTGGCTTTTTTAAAAAGTTTATTTTTATGCCCAATACCAGTGTTATTTATTTGTGCTCATGAAAAGTTCAAAATTTTTACTTAAGGGGCTGGTAAGGTGGCTTAGTGGTAGAGCGCTTGCCTTGCATGCATGAGGCCCTGGGTTCAATTCCTCAGCACCACATAAGCAAAAAAAAAAAAGCTGGAAGTGGCGCTATGGCTCAAGTGGTAGAGCGCTAGCCTTGAGCTGAAGAGCTGAGGGACAGCGCCCAGGCCCAGAGTTCAGGCCCCACAACCGGACCCAAAAAAAAAAAAGTTTTTCTTTTTTTTTACTTAAGTTACTAAACTGAAATACAAAAGGAAATTGATTTTGTTGTCTACCTAAAGTTTTTTAAATAGCTGGCCTAATTTTTAAAAGCTCAAATTTGACCTTTCTTTAACAACTGTTTTCAGTATTTAAAATATTTCAGTATTTAAAATATTAAATATTTTAAATGGGTTTCTATGAATGTCCATCAATAATACTCCTGAAATGACAGCTTCTGCTTTTTTTCTAGACCCGGGAGGATAGAAAGGTTGAAGCCATCATGCATGCTTTCGAAAATTTAGAAAAAAGAAAGAAACGGCGGGATCAGCCCTTGGAGCAGAGCAGTTCTGACATCGAGATTACTACCACCACCTCAGAGACTCCTACTGGAGAAGAGACAAAAACTGAGGCCCCAGAATCTGAAATTAGCAACCCTGCTTCAAACATTGCCATCCCTAGCACCCCACAAACTATTGGTGTGAACACCCGGAGGTCTTCTCAAGCAGGGGTAAGAAATAAAAAGATTCTAGAATCTAGGCATCCTTGTCTTCAATAATGTCAATTACTTACCTTTTGAAATCAGGGAAATGTTGTCTTTGCTCTGTTAAAAAGAAAAGAAAAGAAACCTTAAAGACATTTAAGGTTTTTATCAACTAATTTGTGGGGTTCAGGGAGACAAGTTGTCATATTTGAATGATAGGCACTTCAGACTAGAATAGAACTTTAGGATTGTTTCTGCCTAATAAACTATTGGTGGAATTATAGAAATCATTTATTTTTTGACTTTGTGGAGTAACTCATGGGTTCAGTCCATACCACCAACAAACAAAATAAATATCTTTTTCCCCCACATTGGTCTTTGTATAACCCTGTTATGTACTTTACCTTTATTAGGATAGGCCATCTTTTTTCCTTCCTACCCAGACCATGAATCTAAGCCTTAAGCTAAAATAACTCACTATCTGGAAAAGAAACACAGAGAATTTTGTTCCCTGCTAATAATCCTAACATTAGGTAGCTATCTTTAGATGATCTTGAGCCTATTTTGCAGATACTTATTAGAAGTAGAAATAAGGGCCGGGAAGGTGACTCAGTGGTATAGCACTTGCCTTGCATGCATGAGGCCCTGGGTTCCATGCCTCAGCACCACATAAGCAGAAAAAAACTGAAGTGGCACTGTGGCTCAAGTGATAGAGCGCTAGCCTTGAGCTGAAGAGCTGAGGGACAGCGCTCAGGCCCCACAACCAACCAAAAAAAAAAAAGAAGTAGATATAACCCATATATTAATCTATATCCTCATCAGCTGACTTAAATCTGTACTTTTTTCATCTTAATTCATTTTAAATGACTGGTTCTAAATTCTTACCTTTTTTACCACTAGGCATTCAGAATGCTTAATAAAGATAAGAAACTGGATTGTAAGAATTTAACCCTGGTATTGTTACAGGATATTGCAGCAGAAAAAACAGTCCCCAAACCACCTCCAGCAAAGCCTTCTAGGCCCCGACCGAAGAGTCGAATTTCTCGGTACCGGAGTAGTTCAGCCCAAAGACTAAAGCGCCAGAAGCAGGCCAATGCACAACAGGCAGAATTGTCACAAGCTGCCTTGGAAGAAGGAGGAAATAATAGCTCAGTAACTCCTACTGAAGCTGGAAGTATAGAGAGTTCAGGAGAAAACAGACAGTTACCAGGCACTGACCCAACTGTGCTATCAGTTACCGGATCCCATGTCAACCGTGCTGTAACTAAGTACCCAAAAACCAAAAAGGTAAGTCACAAATATATTTTTGTGAGTCTAGTCTGGCAAGGGTTGTTTTAGCTAAAACAAAAGGACCTCTAGAAAAAAGTAATCTCTGTGTGTGTGGATTGAAAGTTTTAGATTAAAATGTACTGATTAAGGCTGAAGCCATTCTGCTACCTTTTGCCATTATTGTTAGGCAGAGCCTAAAGCACAGATAGCAAAAATTATTCATCTTAGCGGGCATGGGGAGGGGACAGGAGGATATGCTTGCATTCTGAATGCTCAATTCATCCTCACTGCAGCTGCTTGTATCTGTCCTAGTTTCTAAATGAGGTTTGTCTTTGTGGTCTTCAGTCCTGCCTCTGGCTGTTATATTTTCAGCATTAACTAACAGTCTCTTCTTTTTTTCTTTTAACCATAGTATCTAGTTACAGAATGGTTGAATGACAAAGCAGAGAAGCAAGAGTGCCCTGTGGAATGTCCCTTACGTATCACCACAGATCCAACTGTACTGGCCACAACCCTGAACATGTTACCGGGTCTTATTCATTCCCCATTAATTTGCACCACCCCAAAACACTACATTCGCTTTGGCTCACCTTTTATGCCTGAGAGGCGTCGAAGGCCCCTTCTGCCTGATGGCACATTCAGCTCCTGTAAGAAGGTATGTCTGTGAATATGTGTGGGTATTTGGGGTATTTTTTGTTTTGTTTTGGGATGGTTTTTTTTTTTTTTTTGTATTGTTTGTTCATTTGTTTTAACCTAGGATGCCTATAGTTGTGACATTTAACATATTCTCTAGATACTTGTGTGAGTTTATAATGAGTTAATTGCTCAACATGAACACTGGTGCATCAGTAACCAGTATGACCATGGGGATGGTAAACTGAAATATTGGTGTTAAAATTTGTGATTACTCTGTCATCTCTTCTGAGAACCCTTGAGGTTACTGGCTAAGAGCACACAGCAGTTGATGATTGAGTAGGAAGGGATATGTTTTGTGTATGCTCTTGTGATATTGGTTAGCATGTCCATTGGTGATTATTGTGAGAGATTGGGCCCCTAGGTATTCTACCACTGTTGGATAGTAAAACTTTATAAAATTGTGTTTTGAATTAATTTAGTCACTATTATTACTTGAAGGAGATTAGAGGAAAGACCCTACTGTAATTGGCATGTTTCCTGTTTCTTGATCAGATGACAACATGTTGGACTATTTATTCCCTAGAGAATATAGAAACTACTATTTAAAAAAAAATCTGTCTCTCTCGCTCTCTCTGTCTCATTTAACCTCTTTTTAGCTATTTAGTGGTTTTGAGTGCAGTGGCATTGTTTGTTGATGGTTTTTGGAATGTACTTTCTTAATTCCCAGAAGTCCTCAATATTTTCCATAAATGTCCCACAGGAGTAGATCACTTCCTTAGGTCTATAATGTCCTTTCAGTGGTTTTAGAGTTTAGGACACCCTTTCATTTGGTCTTCCTTTGAGGTAGAGTTCTGTTCCCTGGAACATCCTTTTCTCTTATCCTCAGATCTGGATTCAGGCTGCCTTCCTCAGTGTCTGCCATTGCCCTCCTCCACTGGCATCACGTACATGAGGATGCTGCATGTAGATTATTTGATGTGATGAAGTCTCCAACTCCAGGCAGGTCTTCCCTGACTCCAACAAACTTAAAGCTTTTCTCTTTCCCCAAAGAACAGAAATCATTTCTTGGGGGTTTGGGAGGCATGAAAGGTGAGCCAAAGTGATATGGGCTATGGATGGGAGGAGGGCAACAGCAATATCTGTGTAATTGAAAGACACTGCTGCTGAATTAACAGCATACTTAACAGAAAGTCTTCTCTTACCTAATATTTGAGTTACTTGTTGGGTTTATTTGGGAAAACTCCCATGTGTTCAGACCTTTAAAGAAAGGGTTTGCCGGGCGCCGTTGGCTCACACCTGTAATCCTAGCTACTCAGGAGGCTGAGATATGAGGATCACGGTTCAAAGCCAGCCCGGGCAAGAAAGTCGGTGAGACTCTTATCTCCAATAAACCACTAGAAAAACGGAAGTGGTATTGTAGCTCAAGTGGTAGAGCGCTGGCCTTGAGCTGAAGAGCTAAGGGACAGCGCCCAGGGCCTGAGTTCAAGTGCCACAACCGACCAAAGAAAGGGGGGGGGGGGGTTGTAGATAATGCAGAAACATGAGTTACTTTCAAGTGTTAGAATTAAAACAAATGAAAACTATATTTAAAAACAAAATAGAGTCAGGCATTGGTGGCTCACTGAGATCTGAAGGTCACAGTTTGAAGCCAGCCCAGGCAGAAAAATCCTTGAGACTCTTATCTCCAATTAACCACCAAAAAGCTGGGAGTAGAGTTGAGACTCATGCTAGAGCATTAGCCTTGAGCAAAAAAGCTCAGGGATAGTGCTCAGGCCCTGAGTTCAAACCCCAGTAGTGGCACCAAAAAAACAAGAAAGAAAGAAAATTTTAGCCTGACACTAATGGTTCATGCCTATAATCGTAGCTAATCAGGAGACTGAGATATGAGGATCCTGGTTACAAGCCAGCCAGGGGAGTAAAGTATATAAGACTCTTATAATCACAGAAAAAGCTGGAAGTGGCCCTGTGGCTCAAATGTTAGAGTGCTAGCCTTGAGCAAAAGAACTCAAGAACAGCCCCCTGGCCCAGAGTTCAAGCCCCAGGACTGGCAAAAGGAGTAAGAAAATTTCTGCAAAGCCATTTTCTTAAGGAAATTTGTTTCAGGGATGAAGGAAAATCACTTCCCTGGGGAACTATCCTGTACCAAGTCACTTAGACTGACTAGATCTGATTTTTTAAAAATAATAATCATAACTTGCTATGTAAAAAAATTGTATTAGATTTAAAAAAAAATGAAGGTGGTATCAGTAGTATAGTGGTTCACATCTATAATCCCATCACTTAGGGTTTGAAGTAAGAGGATCAAGTGTTCATAGCAAACCTGGACTACATGGTCCCTTTCTTTAAAAAAAATAATTAGAGTGCTCTTACCTCGACGATGGCAAGCAAAACTGAGAATCTATCTTCCTGCTATGTTTTACATTGCTCAGTCCTCATTAAGAATCAGCCAGGCGCCAGTGGTTCATGCCTGTAATCCTAAGATTGCAGTTTAAAGCCAGCCCCGCCCAGGCAGGAAAGTTCCTGAGACTCTTGTCTCCAATTAATCATCAGAAAACCGAAATGGTGCTGTGACTCAAGTGGTAGAGCACTCACCATGAGCTGAAGAGCTCAGGACAGCACCCAGGCCCAGAGTTCAAGCACACGACCAACCTAAAAAAAAAAAAAAAGAATCATCTTAAATACATGTTGAAAATTAGAAAGGACATGAAGCTTTGAGTCTAAAGGAAGAGCAAGTTGAGAGATGGCAGAATGTACATGAAAGAGCTTTTTCTTTTGTGTTTGGCTGCTCATAGCCATAGATTGTGAAGGATATTGACTACTTAAGCGTTTTATTAAGCCAAGTAGTAGAATTTTAGTCTTTGAGAAAGGGTGTCAGTAATTTAGTATTGTTCTTGTTGTAACTATGAACTAACTTCTTAAAATATTTTCTCAGTAATTCTGATGCATAGTTATGAGTTTCTTGTTCTCATCTTGCTTTTCCAACTAGTGGAAATCTAGGAAAACCAAAAACGTGTTTAGGATTGTCACTTCAAATTCCACACAAAATCCATTCTTTGAGCTCTTTTTACCTGGTTTTGGTTTAGGACTTAACATCTGTAGCTCTCTTTGTTACCTCCATTGGCAACAGCTAGAAATCCCATTTTTTTTATATGAACACTTTCATTAGTCTGTTTCAGTACTAGATTTTGCAAGTAGTAGGCAAGCACTTTTACTACTGAACTATATATGTATCCTATATATATCCTCAACCCTCATCCTTAGGCATAAATATTTTTATATAGTTATGGTTGGACTTAATATATTGAACTTTCTTACCAAGACTATATTATTTCAATTAAAATTTAATATTCTTAAGTTTAGATCTTTTTTTTCTTTGTCAGTACTAGGTTTTAAATTCAGGCTCTCCTGCTTGCTAGGCAAGTGCTCTACCACTTAAGTTGTGTCCCTAACACTTGATCTCAGTTGTTTATACTTTAATCTCTGTTTTAGTATTTGTTGAAAATGAATCCAGGATGTACTGTATAACAGTGAGCTTCATGTGGGCAAAATAAATGAGTTACATATTTCAGCTAGAAACTAACATCAGTTTTATCCTGGGTGGAGGTGGGGAACAGTTAAATTTAGGTTAATTTGAAAAGACTTACCTGCTTCAGTATGTAAGGATATTTCCATTACTAAATCAAACTAATAAAATTCTGAAAATCCCTCAGTATATGTTAAACAAATAAATAGAGGAGGATAAAGTATTCTCCACAGGACCAAACAGTATCTATTCCTTCTACTAATAGGTCCATTAGTCTGTCTCTGATTAAAGGATATAGGCCTGCTAAATTAAAATCAGTATAAAAGCTGGGCACTGGTGGCTCACGCCGGTAATCCTAGCTACTCAGGAGGCTGAGATCTGAGCATCACAGTTCAAACCCAGCCTGGGCAGGAAAGTCCTGAGATTCTTATCTTCAATAAACCACTAGAAAATCAGAAGTGGCGCTGTGGCTCAAGTGGTAGAGTGCTCTCCTTGAGCTGAAGAGCACAGGGAGTTCAAGCCCACAACCAACCAAAAAAAAAAAAATCAATATAAGACATTTTGTCGCTACATTTGTTACAACAAAAGTATATGTAAACAGCCAGGAAGCCTATCAGTCACGTCTTCCTGTGTTTTATATGCATAATGCATTTAGTCTCCCAGGCCCATTCCTTAGAAGCACTGGGCTTTACACCAATATTTAAGTTTGTACACTGAGGGTTATTAATCTGTGAGTCTTAAAACCTACCACTGATAATTAGCTAAAAATAAACTGCAGATTTGCTGTGCTTCTAGTACTATGCTGTCAGCTTCCTTTATTATCTCCATGACAGCTTCATGCAGTTGAGGTTATTGGCCATAGTTTTTAGGTTCAGGAGCTTTGTTTTAGAAAGGTTTTATAACTTGTCCAAACCACATACAACTTAGACAGATAGTTAAGGGGGTTTCAAATTATTCTGTAGGGATTATTGGAACTTGTTTGATGCAAAGATATGTTCATGTTACCTTTTTAAAAGAAAATGAAATTCTGCAACCAGACAAAGAAGAAGGAGTTTGATTATACTTGTTATATTTATAACCTTAAAACCAGCTGTGGCAATATCTTATTCCTCCATTGCCCCTTTTCTGGTTTTTTTTTTTTTTGTTTTTTGTTTTTTGGATCCGGTCGTGGGGCCTGAACTCTGGGCCTGGGCGCTGTCCCTCAGCTCTTCAGCTCAAGGCTAGTGCTCTACCACTTGAGCCACAGCGCCACTTCCAGCTTTTTTCTTTTTGCTTATGTGGTGCTGAGGAATTGAACCCAGGGCCTCAGGCATGCAAGGCAAGCGCTTTGCCACTGAGCCACCTTCCCAGCCCCCCCTTTTCTGGTTTTATATGTTCCTTTTTTGTAGTAATTACATCCCGAATGTAAATTCTTTTGTGGTTATATCAGTTTTTGTTGTGTGTGTGCGTGTGTGTGCGTGTAATGTATATAATTAGTTTTTCTTGGAGGAAATCTCGGTGACTTCAAATAAGTTGTCATCTGCTCTGAAGGAAAAATACTATGTCTGTTTAACAACATTTAACCTTTTCAACATTTTGTCTTTCTAGGCCTAATTTTTCCCATCTATGAAATTAGTGCTTTGGACAAGATGACCTCAGAGGTCTCTTCCTAGCTCTAAGGATCTGTGCTTCTGACACTTCATCTTTATATCAGTGTTCTGTATTGAAGAAAGTTCCTTCTCTATCTTGACTTTTCAGAGACTTGGTCATATACTAGAATATTATTGTGATTCAAATGACCCTTGATACCTCTTTTTCTAATGTATTCATTCTTACCTCTTCATGTTTGTTTGTTTTTTTAATTTGACAGACCATAATGACATTAACATGATTTTTCTTAGTAAATTACCCTGAACTGCCTCCTAAGTTTCTAAGAGAGGAAAAAACGTCTCCTAGAATTGCTTTCTTTGGTGAAGATAATTACTTACCTGTAATACATGTTCTCTAGAGGTGTCAACTTATAATAATTCAGCTTTACTCTTCCTATTTTGGGGAGGGTTTAACTCAGAAATTGATGTTTATCAAAATTCGATCTGTCTTATGTCAGGGCAGGAGAGCCACAGAATGGTGAGCAACCTACAACTGTGTATCTTAAGAGAACACAATTACAGGTAAGAAATTTTCTCTTCCACAGGACGCATAATTTTACTATCCTAGTTTTTAAAGTAGACTTACTGATTTCTCATCAATTTAGATTTCAGTATTCACTACCAAAAATTATAACTGATTAGCACGGTCTTTTTTTTTTCTTTTTTTTATTTCTGCAAAGGGTCATTTCTTGTGATTTGCATTATTCAGGCATAGTTTAATCAAGCTACTTCATAGGGGAGAGAGGTTCATATGATATTCCACTTGAGAGTAAATTAAAATCTTTTGGTACCTATAGTGAAGAGCTATTTTTTACTACCATCCAGTATCTTCTGTGAATCTTTTACTACTTTCAACATCCCTAGCAGAGGGCAGATCTTAAAGAGGTCTTTATCTTTCTTGTTACGGACATTTACCTACTAGTTTTGTTGTATATGACCAGTCTCTCAAATAAATGCTAAAATTTCTTCTTTATCTCTTCTGTTTATCTTTTCCTAACCAGTATGAAAGTTGAACAATAATCTGTTTTTTGTTTGTTTGGTTTGTTTGTTGTTGTTGTTTTTTTAGTGTTGGTTTTTTTTTTATTGAGATCTCAATATGTGTATTCCTGACTTTTTCAGGATTTTGCCTGAAGGAATTGATGAGGCAATGTTTTAGTATGTTTAAGTACAACACTTGACTGGCCCTGAATGAATGTGTTGGATTGAATTTCTCACTCGTTGTTGTATATTGAATTGACCTGGTTAGTGCTTTTTAAAGTAGGTGTACTAAATAGTTTGAAATGGTCGTTGATAATTCTCTGGGGTTTTTTTCCCCCATTATAGCGCTGGATAAAGCAAGCCTTGGAAGAAGGGATGACTCAAACATCATCTGTACCCCAAGAGAGTAGAACTCCACACCTATACCAAAGTAATGAGAATAGTAATTCTTCTAGTATCTGTAAAGACAATGCAGGTATGTATCTAAACCCCTTCTAATACATGAGTAATCATTGTTTGAGGACCTCATTTTAAAAATCAGTCTTGGTACTCTTATATGAAAAAGCAATAGTATGTTCTCTAAATAGTTACTTTCCATCTGTCTTTACAGAGGAAGAGAAAGATCTCAAGTCAGGGATCAGTTTTCCCAGGACGACAAGAAGGAACTAGACAGTGTACAGATAACAACAGAAATGGTTATTTAAAAGGTTAGATATGTTTAAAATAGTAAGTTTAGGAAATCTATATTCACATTTATAAGTGGGGGTAAGAAAGTGGTGGACTATTAATGTTCAGTAAAATATTAAGATTTCTAAGTGGTTTTTTAGGGTGGCTCCTGATCACAGGGACTGAAAATAAATGATAAATCATTACTAATTGGTTGTTTTCTAGATAGACTTGTCCCAGCTTTCAATCTAATTTAAAATCCTCACTGTGGCTCACACCTATAATTTTAGCTAATCAGAAGGCTGAAATAGAATGCTCACAATTCAAAGCCAGTCAAGGAAGAAAAGTCTGAAAGATCTTATCTCCAAAATCACCTGTAAAAAGCTGGTATGGAGACATGACTCAGGTGATAAAGTACTAGCCAGATATGTGCCATTTCTGCAAATGTAAGGTCCTCAGTTTAAGCCCAAGATTCAGCCAAAAAAAAAACTTTAAGGTCCTCATGAATTTTTAAACCAGATGGCTATGAAAAATCTTGTGATCTATTCACTTTCACAATGACTCGAAAGGCTTCTAATTGTTGCCATCTCTTTGAGAACAAGGGTCTCTAGTCAAGGTTTGCCTGGATCATGATACTTCTGCCTCAGCCTCTTGACTGCTGGGATTTGCAAATGTGCTCTGCCACACTTATGATACCATCTTAATTTATTTGGGGAAAGTATTTTTTTTACCAAAGTTTTCCTTTTCAATATTAGCTTAAAAAATCACTTGCTTTTTAGCCTCTCTGATGGTTCTTAGGTCACTCCCTAACCCCAGAGTAAGTTTGGAAGACAAGTCATCTCTGATTTCTATATGTTTATCTCTAAATCAGTTTTCTGAATACTAAAACAAAACACCAAAATTAAAATAAGATGCTACAGTTCATATATGAGTACAGCCACCATGCCAGTATCTCAGATTTTCATAAAAACCACTTCATGAGGCTGGGAAGGTAGCTCAGTGGTAGAATGCTTGCCTTGCATGCATGAGGCCCTGGGTTCTATTCCTCAGCACCACATAAGCAGAAAAAGCTGGAAGTGGTGCTGTGGCTCCAGTGGTAGAGGCTAGCCTTGAGCTGAAGAGCTGAGGGATAGCGCCCAGGCCCAGAGTTCAGGCCCCATGACTGGCAAAAAAAAGAAAAAAATTAAAAAACTACTTCATTTTTTTCTGTTAACTTGCTGAGTAATTATTGTAAACTTTAATTTAGGAAGCTTTACTAGTAACATCTGCTTTATATGAAGATTCTGCTTTTGTTGATTTTTCTTCTCTTTTTTGAAGATTTTATTTGGTAAAATAGTATGCTACCACTTGTTATTTTATTTTATTTTTTTGGGTCCGGTCATGGGTCCTAAACTCTGGGCCTGGGCACTGTCCCTCAGCTCTTCAGCTCAAAGCTAGCGCTCTACCACTTGAGCCACAGTGCCACTTCCGGCTTTTTTCTTTTTGCTTATGTGGTACTCAGGAATCGAACCCAGGACCTCATACATGCAAGGCAAGTGCTCTATCACTGAGCCACCTTCCCAGCCCACCACTTTTTAAATTATTAATTTAGTTTCTTTTTCTAGATTGGATTATATTCTATAAGTTAATGAATCTACACTCCCAGTTCAGTAAATCCAATGATACCATTTGTTTAAAATATTCTGTTCATCAAAAGTAAGGGAGATATAGTCAGTCAAGATTAACATAGACCAGTGGCTCACACCTGTAATCCTAGGGTACACAGGAAGCTGAGATCTGAGGCTTATGTTTCAAAGTCCATGACACAGGAAAGGAAAGTCCATGACACTCTTATCTCCAGTTAAACACCAGAAATCCAGAAGTGGTCCTGTGGCTCAAAGTATTAGAGTGCAAGCCTTGAGTGAGAAGAGCTCAGGGACAATTCCCAGGCCCTGAGTTCAAGCCCCATGACCGACAAAAAAAAAAAAAAGATAAACATAAGTCCTGGTCACTCTGGCTCCCATGAGTAGTCCTAACTATGCAAAAGGTTCATATCTGAAGATGGTAGCTCAAAGCCAGCCCAAATAGAAAAATCCAAGAAGTTTCATCTCCAGTTATTCAGCCTAAAACCTTTCAGCAAAAGAAATGCTGGACTGGGAACATAGTCCTGGTATGTACAAAGGCCTGGCTTCATCCCCCCCACCATGAATGGAAAAAAAAAAATGAGGAAAGAAATACTTGCTGGGCTCCCATGGTTCATGCCTATAATCCTAGCTATTCAGGAGGCTGAGATCTGAGGATCTCTGCCACCCAGGGCAGGAAAGTCTTACCTTAAGAAAACTCTTACCTCCAGAAAACCGGAAGTGGAGCTGAGCTGTAGTAGAGTGCTAGCTTTGAGCAAAGAGTTCAGGGACAGTGCCTAGGCCCCAAGTACAAGCCCCACTACCAGCAAAAAGAAAATAAAAATACTTGTGACAAATTGCCATCAATCCTATCAATCTACAGGTAACTTTAAAAGTGTAGTTAGAATGGCTTTGCTGATTAGACTTTTAATATGTCTTTTATCCATGTAGGTGATATGTAGTCATGATTGGAGAAAAGACATTATATAATATTTCATGTCCTGACTAGTTAAGATTTACAGGGAAAGTACCTTTGTTACTATATATCCTGACTGGAATCGGATAAAATTGTTATTCACCAACTAAATTGAGCTTCTGCTCTAGTCTGTCAAGCAGTGAGAAACACAGGATACACCTTGCCCTTAAGTATCAACATAAACAAGCAGTAATAGATGAGTGATTTATATTGGTGAAAGTTAGTGGTCCTGAGGAATTATTTTTGATAATTTTCTGTTACTGTTTTTTTTTTTTTTTTTCCCAAGAATACCAAGGAGATAATAATGTCCAACAGTTGTTACACTACAAAAAAAAAATCAAAGCGGCCTTAATTGGTGTACCAGCTACCATTTACCAGCTATATGACATTACTGAATGTCTGAATTTCATTTATAAAATGAGTGATATTTGCTTTATTATTCAAATAAAGAGACTGAACAATGTGTATAGAGTGCTTAATAAAATGTCAGACCCATAATAGAGTATCCTGCCATGTATGACTACTAAGGTGGTCATAACTACACAGACGCTAAAATCTGAGGAATATGATTCAAAGCCAGCCTGAGCAGGCAAATCCAATTATCTCCAATTAACCAGCAAAAAGATGAACATGGAGGTGTGATTCAAGTGATAGAGTGCTAGCCTTGAATGAAAATCTAAGGGACAGCATGTAGGCCCTGAGTTCAAGCCCTACCTGCACACATACACAAAAAAAGTATGAGTATTATCTACATTAAATAGTAAATTTATAGCCAGGGGTAGTGCAACATACATCTATAGATTCATTTTCATTATGTGTAAATTATGCTCACCTATCCCTAGGAGCCCCTAAATAAAAAACTGGTGGGGCTGGGAAGGTGACTCAGTGGTAGAGCACTTGCTTTGCATGCCTGAGGCCCTGGGTTCGATTCCTCAGCACCACATAAGCAAAAAGAAAAAAGCCGGAAGTGGCGCTGTGTGGCTCAATTGGTGGAGCACTAGCCTTGAGCTGAAGAGCTGAGGGACAGCGCCCAGGCCCAGAGTTCAGGCCCCATGACCGGACCCCAAAAAATAAATAAATAAAAAAACTGGTGTACTTAGAATTATTATTAACAATAGTTAAATGACATCACTAGATAGCAGGTGAATTATACAAAATTATGTCCTAAGAAAGTGAATGAAGGTCGCGATATCAGCTCCCAAGCCTGTGCTGCGGCCCTGGCTGGTCAGTGTAGGAACCTTCTCAATAAAATTGCTCCTTTATTAACCAAAAAAAAAAAAGTGAACGAAGCAGAAATTTTTTATTTCAAAACTTAACAAAATAAATAACCAACTTAATTGGATATATGAAGCAAACTTACTGAGAGTTTTGTTTGGAGCTTTTGTTTATTTACTTGTTTTGCATTGCTGTGTTTTGAACTTGAGGCCTTGTACTTGCTAGGCAACTACTCTACTACTTCAGACATTCCCCTAGCCCTTTTTGCTTTGTTATTGTACAGTCTCGCTTTTTACCCAGGCAAGCCTGGGCCACAATCTAATTTACACTTCTCACATAGGAAGTAGAATAGACACATGCTACCATGCTCAGTTTTTAATTTGTTGAATTGAGATCTTAGGAATATTTTGCCTGGGCTGGCATTGAGCCATAGTCTTCCCCAATCTTAGCTTCCCAAATACTAGTATTATAGGTTGGAGCCATTGCCTAGCTTAAGGAAAAGTATTTTTAAAATCTAAACAAAAATGGAAGGTTGATCATCTAATTCAGAGCAAATAATTCTTGCACATTGGTATAAGAATGAATTATAAATAAGAAACAGAATAGCTAGAAATGTGTAAACATTTGGTAAGTCTTCAAGAGTTTTCACTTGGGAAATTGAAAAAGAGTTAGATCCTTGCTCGTTGGTGATGGTTCATACTTGTGATCCCATCTTCTCAAGAGGCTGAAATAGGATCCAGATTCAAAGCCAGGAAATCTATGAGACTCTTATGTCCATTAACCATCAGAAAACCAGAAGTGGCTCTGTGGCTCATAGTGGTAGAGTGCTAACCTTAAGCAAAAAAGCTCAGAGACAGGGCCCAGGCCCTGTCCGACCTGTCAAGCCCCATGATGAGCCAAAAGAAAAAACAGATTTGAAGCCAGCCTAGGCAGAAAGGTCCAGAGACTATATCTTCAATTTATTACCCCCCCAAAAAAAAAGGAAAGAATGAATTCTTTGCCAAAGCAAATTGTAGG